GGGATACAGCCAAAATACGAACAGGAAAGCACTGTCACAACTATGATGCAGAAGTTCAAGCCATCAAGATAGCGGTAGAGAAACTACTAAATACAGGGTATTTTTCATAACCAGTAGTATTCCTGACAGATGCAAAAGCAGTACTTCAGTCACTCCAGTCTGGAAAATTACCAAGCATACGGACACTATTATTCGAACTAGGCAACCGCTGTAAATTAGTAATGCAGTGGATACCTTCCCACTGTGGATGGAGTTCCCGGAAACGAAAAAGCTGATAAACTAGCTAAGGAAGGTGCAACTGAAGAACAACCTGACATACCAGTCTCTTATCAACAGAAGAAGAGAATAATCAAATCAATCAGAATGCCACCGAGACTGGCACTAGATGATTACCATATTATGGACAGACCAGAGCAAGTCATTATCCTTCGCCTTAGAACAGGGCACAATCGACTTGTGGAAGATGTTATTAGGCAAATATGCAGCCTAACCGACATCATACCTGGTGCAGAATGGATACCTGTGCCTCAGGCGTTTATTTGTACATTTTCCTGTATTGTCACACTCAACAGGCGATGCAGAGAAGAGAATCCTGTTGCTGTTAATGCAGAGGTCAACGCTCTCATCGGTGAAAATTCAGACGAAGCAGATGCAATAATCTATACAGACGGATCGGTTATACGCCAAAGAAGAAGCGCATGGGCATTTACAGCACGCTCAGCGGGCAGAACAGTCAAAGAAGCCAACGGTGCCTTCTCCATGACAACCAGCAGCATGACGATGGAGGTGATGGCAGTGACGCAAGCGTTTGCCTGGCTTGAAACACAAAAATACACCCGCATATGTATACTCAGTGATTCAATGAGTATGATCCGGAGGGTTCAGGCAGGTTCAGTGCGAAGACAATGGCTTGAATCATTACAGAAGTCCACTGTGCGTGGAGTCACCTTTATTTTTGTTCCGGGATACGCAGGCGTCGATGGAAATGAAAGAGCTGACAGGTTGGCTGGATCCGCTATCACTACCGACGGTCGGCCTATGGATCATGCTGATATTATCAATGCCCTCAGAGAAATGGGAAGGATATAGGACTTTGGTGGCAGTGAATCCACATCACTCGCCAGAATGGCAGATTTGGGAATTAAGATCGGCACAGCAAAAAACGAGACGCACACCGGACACGTCAGAAGACTTGTTAATCAACATAGAACTGGTACTATTAGCCATCGGACGTTGGGGTTCATACTGAGGGGAGGATATGAGCACCTATGGACATGTCCGGAGTGCAATGACGATAACCCAACTAACTAACTAACTAACTAACAATCGACTTCGCTGCCACATGTACAACAAATTTAAGATTGGCCAATCAGCCGTGTGTACTTGTGGACTGGCACCTGAAACAACAGATCACATCCTTTAAGACTGTCCCAGATTCAACGCTTTCAGGCAAAACCTTTGGCCAAAAGAGACACTTGTGGAAGTCAAACTTTACGGGCCGCTTAGTGAATTACAAAACACAGTGAAATTCATACTAGAGACAGCTTTGCAGATATAGACAATTTATTTCATGCGAACGAAAGAAGAAGAAGAAGAAGTACCTCAGCCTGTTTATGCTTCAATGTCCGTCAAGGATTCAGTTTGCTTATCAGTTCACAACGTCTTTTTTAAGAGAAGTCAGGATATCGCTTGAGTACACTAAGAAATGCACAGGTGAGACAAAGACTATATGACAGTGACAATTCCACATGTGGATTCCAGGACCCCATTGGTTGGAAAGAAGAGAATAAAAAGGTGGGGGGGGGGGGGGGAAAGACCGACTGTCTTTGACAATCGTGCTGTAAAAGATGACAAATGAGAGTTTTCCTGAAAGGCGAACAGATGCCTGTAAACCATGAAGTGCCAATCACCTTTTTGAATGTACGCGTTAGTAACTAGCTACTGACAAATATACAAGCCGGTGCAGCTCTTCAGCTAGCATACTTCCATGCCTGACAGGTGGAGAGAGGTTCGCCTTCATGTAAAAGTGGATGGAAAACAAGTGTCCAGTGTTTTTCAGGTCGATTCAACATACAATGGGTACCAAGAAAGTAACGTAGAAAACAAAGGCGACTAATTTGATGTTAACTACATCATCCGTACATCGTATATTTTTCTCTAAGTTTATTTTCCTAGCATTATATGCTAGACGAGAGAGAGAGAGAGAGAGAGAGAGAGAGAGAGAGAGAGAGAGAGAGAGAGAGAGAGAGAGAGAAAGAGAGAGAGAGAGAGAGAAAGAGAGGGAGACAGAGATCTCAAAAGCTATGTGGACTTTGACTTGTTGTGCGGAGGTAAATCATGGACAGATTGATAATTAATGAAGTGTTGGCTGCAAGCGGAGGAGATGTGGTTTTGTAGAAGAGGGGTCAGAGTGTCCTGGACAGATGAGGCGAGTAATGAGGTTGTTTTGAGGAAGGCTGACTCGCGAGGGTAATCGGTTGCCCGCATCAGAAGAAAACGAGAAGGACTGGTGCATCGTGACGGTGGGAGTTTTGAAGTGGAGGAGAGGCAGAAGGAGACTATATACAAGATACAGGACGGTTTGAAATCATGGCATGGAACACTATCCGTGTCAGAATTTAATGAATCTAAGGAAACTGACGGGTGTGGACAGACATGACTACCAACGCCCCACGTACTGGACTATAATAGCAGAAGAAGACGAAGAAGAAGAAGAATTGTCTGCACTCATATGCGTAAATGGGTCATGACGTCTACCTCTTCTGTTGCCTTGAATCGTTCAGCAGTTGTGTCGTTAGGGAGTTGTGCTTAGTTGAAAGGTGTCTCTTTTTCTACGGTAGAAAGTGTTGGTAACTAGTCCACTTTTAGACTTTGGACTATGTTCCAGAACTTTGGTTTTGCTTGCAGACCCAGGTGCTGTACCCTCCCCCATCCCCGCCCCTCGTTCATCCGGCCCCTCCCCCCTCCAAAAAAATCCGAAACCCTATTTTGGGGGCCTCAAGAACACGAACACCCAAGTTCCGGTGGCTATAAATGATAGGACTTACATTCTCCACAGTAATGTTGTGCCTGAGGTAACCACTGACATGTGCCACGTAAGCTAAAGTGTTGGCCGTATACTCGCTCACATCCACGTACAACATGTTGCTGAACTCAGACAATGCTGGCAGCACGGCTGGCGTAAGTGGACTCTCCTGTTTATCTTTCCAGTAGACGGTTCCCTGCAAGAAAACACTTATAATTTTATTCATAAACATTGTTGGTATCAGGCATTTTCTTTTAGTACGTATGCATTTCGAACATTGATTTCCTAGTTGGCTAGTAGATAAAGGGCGCGTGGGAGAGGGGACATAGGAGGGGGTGGGGGCGGGAGACCCATTATTGTTGTGGGTACCGATGAATTTTGAAGCTTTTCATTATTTTTTTCGTACTTTGAGCTTTCACTGCGCCCTTAATTTTTTAATCTGTCTTACATTATTCTCTCCCCTCCTTCCCCCACCCCCTTTTTCTAGCCTAGCGAACATAAGGCTAAGCGCTCGCTGCAAATCTTGGAGTTATTTCGTCGGCACGTAATGTTCACAAGTACCTCTCTTTCTTTATTTCTTCCTTTCTCTCTCTCTCTCTCTCTCTCTCTCTCTCTCTCTCTCTCTCTCTCTCTCTCTCTCTCTCTCTCTCTCTTTCAGTTGCTCTCTTGGAATTAGTCTTTCCTCCGCCCAGATGCAGTTATTCCCATTTAGGGAAACTGGTATGTGGAACAATAAAATACGTAACAGATGTCAACTGTGTAGTTTTTTTCTTGGCCTGTTAGCAGATAATAATGTTTATACGTTGCTTCATTTTCGGGAAAGACCTTTTGACACCTATGGAAAGACTGGCCCCCCGGTATCGCCGGGGGGATAAACTGACATCTGAAGACAGATGTCGACTGTGGACCGGGTTGATCACCCCTAACACAGTATAATACCTCCGATTGCGTTAAACCACAAAGAAATATGCCCCCAGGGCCCTCCGAAAGGGGGGGAGAATGAAGGGCCCAATTCAATTGAAACCCTCGGTGACGACTTTGCTAGCCCCCGGACTGAGATACTCGCCCAACGTCCGGGCTGGCTCTGTACATGTGGGAAAAGCTTCACGGGGTTGCATGGTCTGAGAACGCATGCCGGAAGAATGAAATGCGAGGGTGCTCCACGCAGTAAACGCCGTCGCAAAACTACCACTCCTGTGGTAGTTTCTGAGTCGTCAGGGTACGACGGGCAGGGTGAACCCCACTCGCCCGGAGAGGCCCATGACGTCGACTGCGGAGAAGCACCTTTGATGATTTCTGAAGAAGTGCGTTCCAAGATCAGGTTTCCACCTGCGAGCGAGAAGGTGGTGTGGTGTAAGTTGGAGGCTACATTATGTGAGATACTTAAACAAACTCTAAACAAGAAGTCGCTAGGCGACAAGCTTACTAAATTTGGTGATGTAATTTATGAACACTGCTCCCGCGAGTTCGGGACAGTAGTAAAGGCACAGCCGGGTGCCAAGCAGAATACTAGCAGGAGGCAGAGGGACATTCTGAAGTGTCGGGCAGACAAGAATGCCCTCAGAAAACGGTTCAAAGCCGCTACGGGCAGCGAACGGGAGGGGCTGTACGAAGTGTGGGTGCACTTAAAGAACAAACACAGTGCCCTCTGTCGCGCCGAGCGTTTCTGTAACAACAGACGGAGAACCAAAAGGGAGCGAGAGAAATTCTTTAGGGACCCGTATCAGTTCGCCCGAGGTCTATTCGAGCAACCGAAGTCTGGGACTCTGGTTGTCAGTCAGGAAGAACTAGAGCTACATCTACGCAAGATGTACTCGGATAAAAAGAGGAGAGAGCCTCTCGATGACAATCCAGAGATCCTTAGCGGTCTCAAACAGCCTTCGGTGCCGAAGGTACCATTTTAAAATGGTACCTCCCCTTTGGTCTGAGGTTGAGGACGTTGTGAAAAAAGCCAGCGGCAAGTCTGCCCCAGGTCCGAACGGTGTCCCGTACGTTCTTTACAAGCGTTGCCCGAAAATCCTAAAAATGCTTCACGTCTTGTTGAGACAAGCGTGGATCCGCAACCACATATGTCCAGAGTGGTCAAAGGCAAATGGGGTCTACATTCCCAAAGAGCAGGACTCGAAGAGTCTTCCCAATTCAGGCCCATCTCGCTGTTGAATGTTGAGGGTAAGATATTCTTCTCAGTCATGGCTCGCCGGCTCACACAGTATCTGATGACTAACAAGTACATAGATACGAGTGTTCAGAAGGGTGGTATTCCAGGCGTTCCTGGGTGCCTTGAACACGCGACCATGATCTGGGAGGCTATCCAGAGAGCCAAGCATGAGAGAACCGATTTGCACGTTATATGGTTGGGCTTAGCCAACGCCTACGGGGCAGTCCCCCATAGGCTACTGTGGCGAGCCCTTCGCATGTTTCACGTACCGACACAGATCAGTCAAATGGTCGAGCAATATTTCTCCAAGTTCGCTTTGCGCTTCTCTACCTCGACGTTTACCACGAGGTGGACTGAGTTGCAGATTGGGATAGCTATGGGCTGTACGATCTCACCCATACTGTTTGTCATGGCAATGCAGATCATGTTAGACGGCACTTGGTACCAAGTGGAGGGTCCTCGATGCGATTGAATCTGCTCAGAACGCACTAAAATTGAAGGAGGTAATGGGTTACACACAAACCGACCGCCGAGGCCTAGGGCACGGGAAGGTCAATTGGTGGTCAAAGGCCTCAGCCAAAGAGCGCCGAGACATGGTGATACAAACGGTGAGGGACAACGAAAACGAGGTTCGGGTCCAGAAAGCTGCCCAGCAGTCGCAGCAGGGCCATTGGGTCAGCCTGGAGAGCGCATTGCCGAGAATACTCACATGGGGTGAGATCTGGCGGATGACCCCGCTGCGACTGAGCTTTATCGTTCGTTCGGCGTACGATGTATTACCGTCCGGTGTTAACATGGTTAAATGGTCTGCGACCAACGATCCGACTTGCCCGTTGTGCAAATCGAAGCAAACTCTTGAGCACGTCCTGTCCGCGTGCAGGAAAGCTCTAGGTCAAGGCCGATATACCTGGCGCCACAACAAGGTGCTAAAGGAGTTAGCAGCCGTTGTCGACCAGGCTAGAATGAGGGCTAATGCCAGAGCCAGTTCTAGTATCGCCCCCATTCGTTTCCTCAAGGCTGGGCAGGTTCCAATCGGTAAGGTCAACAAAAACGCATTCGCTCCATCTGTGCTTGACTCTGCGAGGGACTGGTTACTGGCGGTTGATCTGCCAGGACATGAACGGTATCCCGAGTTGATCCGTAAAACCGGCCTGCGACCGGACATCGTTCTCCATTCTGCGCAAAAACGGCAACTCATCCTGATTGAGTTGACGGTCCCGTTTGAGTCGCGTATGGAGGAGAATCACTTGTACAAGCTCGAAAAGTACAGTGATTTAGCAGCCGGTTTGAGGAGAAACGAGGCTTACACAGTGCGGGTATTTGCCGTCGAAGTGGGAGCGAGAGGCCTCGTTTCCACTTCGCTCTACAATGTGGTGAAGGAATTAGGATTGCGCGGTAATGAACGGAAACGAACACTCAAAAAACTGGGAGAGGTAGCCGAAAGGGCCTCTAGCTGGCTGTGGACGCAGCGCAACAACGTAGGGGACGGGCCTCGGTGAGCTGGTCCGGGTATCTAGTGGAAAAGAGTTTCTCATCCCTTTGAAAAGTCCATCGTGTCCGAATTGTCTGCCAGTGTCCCTCTGCCAACTGCTAATAAAAGTCTAACATGTGTCCGGTAAACCAAAGTAAGCTTGTCGCTCGGTCGTACAGGCATGCGGACTGTTTTAATTACGCTGTCGCGGCGACTTCTTATCTCACAGTACCTCCTTCGAAACCACCAAGTCGTCTTGTCTCTGGCCGAAAGTATAACACCATCCGGTAATTCCGTGCAGCGGGGAAGCAGCCCTGAGCTTCATGAACTCAGGTGGGCCCACCTCCGAATGCGTTTAGGAATCGTGGGCCGAAACGTGTGTCGAAAGAGGATAATTTCTACTGATGACTGTAGATCCCCGCTGTACTTGCTCCCTGTGAGTTTATTCCTATCTTTATGAACCTGTTAGGACAGGCCCGATGAAATGTTGAGCCAGGAGATTTATCCATCAACAGACCAGGTTTCAACTCACCTCGTGATACTGGTACAAGATATATTTCCGAATTTAATTTTCTGAAAATTATCTAAGAAACGAAGATAACGAAAACGAAACTGGTTATCTTATGTCAGCAGTTGGGTTTTTTTTTCTACCAGGGGCGTTTGAATATTTATAACACACTTTTGGGCCAATGCAAAATAATTAAATTAAACCGTAGCATGCTTTATTTGTTTAGAAATTATTAAACACAAACACAGCGTGTTACGTGAATGCTCAACGAAGCGAATGGAAGAGGGGCAAAGGAGTAAGACAGGAAAGTGCGGCGTGTACAGTAGTCTGCTTCTAAATAGTATGTATTTTAGGTTACAGTCTTTCTTTAGACACACTGAAGATCTTACGAGTACAGTAGAACCTCGCTCAACGAGCACCTCTCATTACGAGTAATTCGCATAACGAGCAAAACAAATCATGAAACAAATGACTTGCTTAACAAGCGACGTTTCGCATAACGAGTGGCGAGGAGAAGGGAAGTCCCGAATTGTGGGCATGTTACATCAGTTTGTGTTTAGCACTCGTTCCAGTAGCAACGTAGTGTCGCTTGTGATCACACATTTTCTCAGACTTGTGTTATATTGTGATATATGTACATGATTCCTCCAAGCCTACAAGATGACCTCTCTGTGGAATTTAAGTTCATCAAGATCCAGTTTCTGCCTTCCAACACCACTCCGTTACCACAGCCCATGGACCAGCAAGTTATTTATAACATGAAAAAGCTCTATACTAAAGCACTCTTCGAGCATTGTTTTCAGGTGACTAAAGGGACCAACCTCACTCTCAAAGAGTTTTGGAAAAATCACTTCCACATCGTTGCCTGCCTCAAGATGATCAACAAGGCGGGGGAAGGGGTTACCAAGAGAACTCTAACTTCTGCTTGGAAGAAGCTTTGGCCGGAGAGCGTTGTCGATTTGTGACTTTGAGGGGTTCGAGACAGTACCTGTGGAACCTGTAGACAACAAGATTGTGTCTTTGGCCACTATCATGGGATTGTAGGTGGATAACAGTGATAGCGAAGAGCTTGTGGAAGAGCACAGCCAAGAGCTGACCACCCAAGAGCTTATGGAGTGGCATTGTGTTTCACAGCAAGAAGTTTTGGGGGGAAAGTTTGTCTGAGGAGGAGGAGGAGGAGGAGGAGGTAACAGAAAAGCAACAATCTTCTGGCGAAAAAAGACAAATGCTGAAAGCATGGCAAACTGTTGCATCTTACATTGAGAAGCATCACCCTAATAAGGAAGTGGCTATGCGCGTTGCAAATTTATTTAATGACAATGCTGTGTCGCTTTTTCGCCAAATTTTGAAGCGTTGGCAAAAACAAATATCTCTTGACATCTTTCTAGTAAAAAATAAATAATTAGCTATCATAATTATTTTTGTATAATTATAATTATATTTTTTTTTTCTGCAAATCGAATTCGCATTCCAGGTGGGTTCGTTCCGCGTTTGAAGAAAAGATAAAGATGATTCACCCTCCTTAACAATAATTATACAATTTTCTGTGAATAAACGTTATACATAGCATTTTGTGAATATTTTTTTCGACATGGAACGCATTATCGTTTTTTACATTAATTTAAATGAGAAAAAGTGTTTCGCATAACGAGTGTTTCGCTTAACGAGTATGGTTCTGGAACGAATTTTGCTCGTTAAGCGAGGTTCCACTGTTTATGGATCAGAGTGCAGATTGTTAAGGTGATGTTGGAAGATTCTAGAAACAGACAAACTCTTACGGTGTTAGGTTAAGAACAGCAGTGGTCTATCAGGTGCAGGTTTAGATTTAGTGGGGATGCCTCTCTTAGTGATGGATCATATTTTTTTTTAGCGCGCCTTAGGGTGGTCTATGTTTGGTTAAACATTTCTTTTCTCCTTTACCCTGGAACACAGCCTTAATCCCCCCCCCCCCCCCCCCCCGTGATCTATCTGCGCGTATGGTTTTGTAAATCAATATAACTTTTTTGGTTATTATGCTAATTAGGCATCTGAAATAAACAATATAAATTATGGATTTGTTTTGTCATGTCTAGCTCACTGGTTGCATTGCTTCCTTTTAAAACATCACACCTCCAAATCTTACAAAAACTTTAATTGTTTTATTGGTGGGGAGATGGGAGAGTAATGTTTCATAGCCCTTAACTGCAAAAGGGAGTGTGATTTTTTTTTCATCTTGACATTTTGAATGGTAATGGTAATTTCCAAAGTAACAGAAACAACTGCACTGATTTTGATTTTGACACTTTTGTAAAGCATCAATCCTTAACAAGGCAATGACAAACTAGTGAACGTAAAACTGTATAGAACAATCACAGACAACAAACGATGGGGTTGGTTCCTGACATAATATAGAAGATATACAAATAACTTGCGTCAGGAAAGTTTATTAATACAATCTAAAAAAAAAAAAATAATTTTCACCTTGGTGGCTACCTCGATGTAATTGTCTGTGACAGTAGGAGCTCTAATGAGGCTGTAGTCCAGCAAGAAACGATCAGCAATCGTCACACTCACTGGTTCAAGTAAAACAATCATTCACATTATCATTCTCTAAGGTCACCGGTTTATTTTCTAACGGAGCAAAAATGTTTCGACCACTAAAAGAAATCCCGCTTCTACAAGTGTTTCGGTCCCTTTATAGGTGCCTTATTATTATCCTACCCTAAAAAAGGGAAATCCACAGGTCACGGAACAGTCTAATATTTCAGGGGGGGTAGATAAGCTGCATCCATTCGTGGGACCCACATAACAAAATGTGATTAAAAAGAGGACAACAGATCCAACAATATAATCAGGAAGGCTAAGCCGGTCAACAAATGCTTGCAGAAGTCGGATTTACAAATATCGCAGCTATGTTGTAAAATTAGCACATCACAATTACATCTTAGGATGAAAGAAGAAGAAGAAGAAGAAGAAGAAGAAGAAGAAGAAGAAGAAGAAGAAGAAGAAGAAGAAGAAGAAGAAGAAGAAGAAGAAGAAGAAGAAGAAGAAGAAGAAGAAGAAGAAGAAGAAGAAGAAGAAGAAGAAGAAGAAGATCCCTCAAAAGGGAAACAGGCAGTAGGGAGATAGGCTTGGGTCAGAATGTGTTTTAAATCTATAATTAAACGTCTGTATTGTCATAATAATTAGATGTTTAACTGTAGACATGCAAATTGCTTATGAAAAAAAATGTCCTAGAATTTTTTTTGGGTCAAATAAATAGTTTTAAAAATATATTATCTAATTTATAATTACAGTGAAAAAAAAATGATGTAAAGGACTATCACAAAAACAAATGCACCCAAGTTTAACGATTGCTCGACGCTCCCTTGAAGCCTTCTCGCGCCTCCTTGGGGGACGTGTCTTCCAGAAAAGAGACCACTGCCTTAGAACAAGCCCGAGAAAAGCCAACTTTTTCTCCAAAGCCGAAGTTGTGCATTAAGTCGGTGCATTCCTACTGCACTTTGCTGCAAACAGGGTCTAAGAAATACAACATTACAAACGATCTCCGCAGTTATTTTAAGCAATAAAGTTACTTAAGTCGGTATGGTCATTTGACAGGAAGATGTGAATAAAAGAACATCTTGAGCAAAAAAAAAAAAAAAGGAGACAGTACTGTTCTTTAGTGATGTGATGAGAAGACAGCTACCATAGACTCTATTTCAGCAAATAGGGACAATTAGCAGGATCGAACGAATGTTGCCTCTGCGATGTCTGTTAAATCAAGGTTTGAATGCGTACAGAAGAAAAGGTAGTATTTAATGGAGAGAAAAACACTGCAGAGCTTTTGGAGTGGCTTGGAGTAAAACGAGTGTTATTGAAGAAAGAAAAAAACCAAGCATGTGAAATATTTCTCCGATATTAAAATAAAATATGAACACCAGTTTTGAAAGTCACAATATAAACAGAGTGCAATGGTGCGAATGGGAGTCATAAATCATTGTACAAAGGGGCAGGGTTTAAGATGGTAACAACTATTGTTACGGATAAAGCATAAGAGATTTCCCCGTAGCTAACATTCGTCATGAAGACAATACCTAATTTCATAATTAACTTCATTCTACCATGTTTTTCGAAGAAAGACCTACCCAATGAATGACCAGTTAGAGTGTTGGAGTACATACGCGCCCGGCTCTCTAGCGTAGTTGGCTAAACAGGACTGCGCGGTGACCGGGTGACGAACTCCTTGTAGTCTGGGTTCACGCCCGGGGGTAGGCACAATAACCAAATTTCTCCCAGATTACGGTATTTATCATGGAATCAAGGCCGGAGGGTTGTGATATCCATAATACCGAGCCTATGGGTTAACAAATCATGGTTTCTGGATACTAAAAAAAAAAACCATACGCCACTGGAGCGCACATAATAATGAAGGGATGTGGGTTCATATTTCAAGGTACGTCACTCGTGTGAAATAAAAATAAAAAAAAATATGATTGTTCAGGAAGAAAATGTCATGATTATACTCGAAATTGAGCCCAGTGCATTTCTGAAGAAAAAATCAATATAAGACCCGGTCATATTTTCTGGGAAACACGGTAGTTCAAGTAGGCTTTGCGTGTGAGCTGGTCCTCCAGATAACATTGATGTAACACGTTGCAGCAGACATGCCCCATCCGGTGCCCACTGGTTTCTTTAAATAGGGGATAGCACAATAGGCCCCGCATGCTTCAATGTGTGGAAAAGTGTCCCTTCCTTTTTTAAATTTATTTTGTGACTGTATTGTATTTTTTCTCGTGATTTCTCCAGCCCTCAGTAGGAAAATCCTTCTTATTTTCAAGGATTCACTTGTTTATAAATTGTTATATAATTTTATACGATAATAATAATTATCGTACAATTAAACATGGATTGAGCCTCACCACCTCTATTAACTTCCAGAGAGCATGGGGACCCAGACCTTGTTTAATTGTGCAGTAATAATAATATTTATAACTAGTTTATTAGTTATTACTGCGCAATAAAACAAGGTTTAGGAGCCTTGAGTCCACTGTCGTAAAGTGATCCACTCACCCCTTCATTTTCGACTATTCGTGACTTTGGCTCCCCTAACGGGCAGGTCACATTTCAAATATAGACCCGTCTGGTGGGTAAATAGTCCATCATATCTATTTACAACTTTATCTGATGAAATAGACATTTCTATTTCTTCTGGATCTCTTGTGAAGTCTTCAATTTCAAATTTGCAGTTGTGGGGTAGAGATTCTCTGTATTATTAATTGTTTTTCATAGAAACCGATTCACTCCTCACGGTATTGATACGGTAACTTCTTTCTCCGAAAGGACGCTAAAATGTCCCTCTCATTCACTGCCGACTTCCAGAGAGTCCAGACGCATTTGCCTTTGTGCCTGATTTCTACTTTGAAAAGTACCAGTAAATTTTTGGAGGAAATCCTAAGCTTGGGTAAGTTGATTTTAGTGTGCGAGTAAGATGTTTTTTTATATTTATACACAAGCTGTGCCCTGCCACCCGTTGCTGTGGCCCCGAATGGTTAAATGTTAGCTTTCAGTTAACAGTGTCTGTCATAATCCTCACTCCCTTCCCTCTCTCCTCTACCCTCTACCCAGTCATATCTCTCTCTCCGAAGGATTGAAAAATCATACCTGGCGAAAGTATTAAAATAGAAATAGTTAAGAAATGAGAACTTTAAAATAATGTTTCAAGCTCTCTCAGTTAAGAGTGTCTGCCATCAACCCCCCCCCCCCCCTCCCCACTAATCAGATCATCCTCGCCGAAGGATGGAAAAGTCATCATCTGACGAAATATTGTAACTAAATTGAGCTTAGCATCCGTGTCCACCCAAAGACAGATGGATAGCATTAATGTGTAATGAGAGGTAAATGTGGCCAGTGTAACAGCTACCACATCACCCATCCAGTGCCAGTACTACTGCTACCGCTACCAACACCACCTTCAGAACAAAAACAAATAACAGTCACTACTGTCTGTGCATGTCGGTGTAGCCAGAGGAGTTAGCGCTGCATGTTGTCGCCACGGACTGCTTAGTGTAATTGAGCTCCCAACAACAACAAAAAGAAAAAAACTACATCACCTAACCAGTGATGGAACCCACAGTAATAGTCCGTTATATACTCACAAACAGTGGAAATAAAAAACCCCACCCGTCATCTCCCCTCTCTGAACGGACGAATGTTAAATGACCTTGGCATCCGTGTCCACCCAAAGTAAACTGGACTGCAAGCAGTCTTAGTTAACAGCTTCTGTCATCAACGAATAGTTTATGATCGAGTGAAGCGTCACGTGGAAGATAAATGGGACTTTACTGAAATCGGATGTCTTTGAGCGGAAGGTGCAGATATCGCAGCCTAGCTGTAAACCACAACATGCCAACAGCCATCTTGAGGGGGAAAAATTAGCACCCAGTGGGTAATTGAACACCTGTAAACCACGTAAAGGGCGGATTACGTACAACTATACTACCTAAGACTGAAGAGTTTGGGTCCGATATCGCAGCGTAGCTGTAAACCACAATACAACGTGCCAACCACCCTCTCAATGGCGAACAAAGATTACCCGTGACATGACCAACATTACGTCGTCACTATCGCAGGCTAGCTGTAAACCCCCAAACCGAGCGAAAAAAGACGAAGATATCGCAGCCTAGCTGTAAACCACAACACAACGTGCCAGCCGCAAAGTTAAGCGCAAAAAAAAATATTCAATTACCCAGCGGGGCATTGATCGCCAGTCACCCGCGTAACACGCAAAATATGCAACTACGCTACCAAAGAACTCAAGCATTTGCCCAGTTATATCTCCCTCTCCGAATGATTGAAACATTATTATGTGGCGACATTGTTAAAATAGACATACTTAAGAAATGAGAACTGTAAAATAATGTTTTAAGCTCTCTCAGATAACAGTGTCAGGCATCAACCCCCTTAACACCCCTCCCTTCCCTCCCCCCTCCCCGCGACAATCATATCATCATCTGCGAAGTATGGGAAAGTCATCGCCTGACGAAATATTGTTGTTAAATTGAGCTTGGCCTCCGTGTCCCCCCAGACAAAAATGGGTAGCATTAATCTGTACGGAGAAGTACATGTGGCCAGTGTTACAGCTACCACATCACCCATCGATTATTAGTACTACTGCTACCACTACCACCACCACCGTCACAACAACAACAACACAAAACGGTCACTACTGTCTGTACATGTCGTTGTAGCCAGAGGAGTTGGCGCCGCATGCTGTCGCCCGGACTGTTTAGTTCAAGTGTGTCCCCGACATAAAACTCCATCACCTAACCAGTGGTGGAACCCACAGTAATATTCCGTGATTTAAATAATAAGTACTCTATACTCACAAATAGCGGAAATAAAAACCCACAATCGTCATATCTCCCTCTCCGAAGGGACGATGTATAACTAACCTTGGCATCCGTGTCGACTCAAACCAAACTGGACTGTGAGCCTTCTTAGTTAACAATGCCTGTCATAAACGAATAGTTTTTGATCGAGTGAAGCGTGGGGGGAGGGGGGAGGCTAATTAGGACTGTACTGAAATCCGATGTCTATGGACGTAAGGCGCTAATGTCGCAACTAAGCTGTAAACCACAACACAACATGCCAATTGCCCCTTAAAGGGAAGAGGAAAAATTAGCACCCAGCGGGGAATCGAACGCATTCGCATGAAGGGTGGAATTCTTACAACTCTACTACCGAAGACTGAAGACCTTAGGTCAGATATCGCAGCCTAGCTGTAAACCACAACACAACGTGCCAACCACCCTCTCAAGGACGAACGACTATTACCCGTGACATGATCATTGAACATCACGTCGCCGCTGTCGAAGGCTAGCTGTAAACCCCAAAATCGAAAAAGGCGTAGATATTGCAGCCTAGCCATAGACCACAACACAACGTGCCAGCCGCCCAGTTAAGAGTTAAAAAAAAATTATATCACCTAGCTGGAAAACCAACGCGGATCACCTGTATGATAGACAGAATAGCTACCAACTACGCTACCAAACACTCAAGCAGACAGTGGAAATGAAATTATATAATATTGCAATGTTCAATAAGAGCTAAGCAGTCAAATATGGCCAATAAAAAAAGAAAATTCGGGCAAGCAACGAAACAAATAATGATTTGACCGTTGCTGGAGCTACGTCGTTCGTGGCTTGTGCAATTTTCTGACAAAAAAATCACGCTTGGGGTCAAAGGCAACGTTGTGTGCAAATTTGAAAGCAATCGGTTCAGTAGTTTCCGAGTTTTTAGCTAACAACATCGGGTAATTAACATTTTTATAAATATACATTTAACCTGCTGCTGAGTAGAGGAATGATTTAGCTATGGGACACTGCTGAACGAGACTGTTCTTGGTGTCAATCTACTCCTAGGCAACTAAATCAACATTTTCCCTTTTCAAACTGTGATTAGGTGTCCTACCTAAACCAAGGTTAATATAAAGGAATTAATCTGACAGCCTGGTCAGGTTTCTAACTAACTGATATAAATTTTGAATAAAAGCATTGAAGCTGGCGAGATAATTGTGTCAGCGTTCAGTCTGCACATAGCAGGCTACACACAGTGGCGTCCGGGGTTATTTATAGCTAACTCTCAAACAACACAGGTCAACTACGACCAGACTGTGATATATACATATGTGGGAGAACGATAATCTGTGTGACTCAAAGTGCAGATGTGGGTGTGGAGAGATGATGGTCTATGTTTGAGAGAGTCTATCTGTCTCCACTGTTGTCTCTTGTCCCTGTTCCTGACTGACCGACAGATATAATATATAGAGACTTCTGCCGTCTCATTATCCTAGAACTGTCCTCTTAGTGATTGCCAGGTGTGGATGGTAAATAAATGAGCTGAGCATGTAACCTCTGAGATGACTACTAATTCTGAGTTCTTTCCTGATACAGAATGATATCTCCTTGGGGGCCAGGCAGTAAATCAGCAGTCTAGAAAAGTAGCCAACCATAAAATTACCCACTACCAAACCATCACCATGGCAGACAGCAATGTGGGAGCCAAAGTGTAGGCATCTGCTTACAGGCCGCCCATTTGTCATTCATACCAGAGTGCCTTCTTCAGGAGCGTGTTGGGTTCCAGTGGCTGAAAGGCTGTTGCTCCAGGCCACCAGGACCACACTCGGTCCAGAGCACCCTCTTCAGGAGCTTGGGGCTCCAATAACTGAAAGACAGTGTTCCAGGCCACCAGGACCAACCTTGGTTCAGTGTACCCTCTTCAGGAACCAGTTGGGCTCCAATATTGAACCCTATATGTGACTGTGTCTGCCAGATCAACCATTGAAGTGAACATTCTCAGAAGGCCAGCCTGTTCCAGTATCATGAACTGATGAGTGCAGTGACTCCACCCTGAAATAGATAAGTAGTGAACTCTAGGGTGATGCCGTGTTCTATATTTGCAGATCCACTCCACATCACCATGATGATGTCAGGCGGCCTCTAAGAGATTCTTCAAGGTCTGTCAAGGGAATTTTGGTGTTGATCTTGCAATATTCCAATGCTCTTGAATATCTTCTCTTGAGTCATATATCATGTTGATGTTGAACTTATTACATGCCTTTAGAAGTTTTCACTAATGAATTGGGTGTCCCTGTTTCACTGTTCAAACTGTCTAGCTTTTATGTATGTGTGATTACTAATCCTAATCTGTGTTATCAAGGTTGTTATCTTTTTATAGTAGTGGGGCCGCCCAGCCAAGTTGCGCCTAGGATTATTATATATTCTGTAATGCCATAACTTGAGTCGCCCTACTCCTGAAATAGGTTGGATGTATATTGGCCACCGGATTTCCTGTAGACGAATACGAGCCGACACCTCAACATATTCTATTTCAGAGTGCTGTTGGTTCTTAAGGAGAAATCCTTAAAACAGGCACGCGACACGAGCATTATGTGACATCCAACCTCCCCAGCTCTCATCACCTCTAAAAATAAATTTGTTTTCTCTGTGGCAGAGCGTCGTGACTCTGTTATGGTAATAACATCAATTAAGATCACGAAGACGACAAAGGGGATGATTAAAAGGACAAGATGATGATGAATGAACAAACCATCATCGCCACATCAAATTATAGAGTTCTAATTCAAATAAAACTACTTGGTTTCTCCAGGTGAAAGACAAATCTAAAGGTTTCCCTAAAAATATAACAGAGACGTACCGTTCATTCTACCAAGCACATTGTAAGTTTGAGTGTTGACTTGATTTCTGACAGTGTCACAGACCTGGTAAAACAACACTGACAATTTAACAGCCAATTGAGAGGAAATAACATAAAATATTTTTTTAATGCATTGCAACTTTATCCGTGTAAACCCGCAAACACTCGGGATGACCAGTTAAAAAGAGAGGACCACTTACAGAGATAATTAGAGAATGGATCTGCAGCAATGAACCTCAAGGGCTTAGAATGGCGAAGAAGAAGACGATTACAGCTTTATGGTAAAAGTAGTTCCCTCGCTGATTCTACTAAAGTAACGTGCAGTAATGAACCTTTACACATTTAAGTCACTGGGATAAAGGACTAACACCCCGCCTTCCCCCCCCCCTCTCCCGAGGCCAATACCTTGTAGTGCTTAAACGCATTTCACTGTTTAGATGTGTTCAGTCATGAATGAATCAATTTTAGCATATATTTTCTCATTTGTTTGTTTAAGTATATTTATTCCAGTTCTCTCCTTTTTTTTAAACCTGTTTCATCTTTTATATTTTGCTTCCCAGTTGATCTTCCTATTTTTTTTTTCGAACTTCTGATGTATGTTGCCATTCTCGTGGTTTGTTTGTTGATTTATATTTTCTGATTTTTTCTACTCTGTCTAATGTGTTTCTCCGATTAATGCAGCTATTCGTTGTAGGCACGGCTAATGATCAGATTCCGGGATTCATTCATTCATTCAGTAGCATGTCCCTCGCGGAACCTCGCTGCCATAACAACCCTCCGGAAAACCTTCCTATCATGAGCAAGATGTCCAGCGTCTGATACACCCATCTGGAGATCATCTGCCACATCCTGCACCCATCTTCTCCTTGGTCTTCCTCTTCCTCTCTTCCCAGGCATATACCCCTCCATTATTGTTCTCTCTAGACTTCCATGACGTTTCAAGTGACCAAAATATTTCAATTTTCTTTGTTTTATTGTCTTTACTAGCCAACCCTCTTCAATATTCAGCTCTTGAAGTATGGATGCATTTGTTCTTTTCTCTACCCAAGATATTCTTAGAACCTGTCTGTAACATTTATATTCAAATGCATTTATGCGCTTATTAGCTGTGCTGCATGGTGTTACTGTTGATTCCGGAGGTTGTTAACTTCATCGGCTACTCGCAGAGCGGTAACAACGTCTGGCTCTCATGGCGAAGACCCAGTTACGACTCCTCGTAAGGTGATTTTTTTTTTTTTTTTTTTTGTCGGGGAGGGGAAGTGCAAAATTGAACATCCTAACCTGCATATTCCGGTGCGACAACACTAACTATGCAACCCCATATCCTCAGGCTCCCGATTTTGCTGTTTACACCGCCCTCAAAAGTGCTACACACAGACAGTAGTGACAATTAACACCATCTATCCATTTCTCCTTCGCCTTTCTTTGTCTTTTGATGTTTCTTTTCTTATGTTGTATGCTCTTGAACCGGTGACGCCGGGTTCATTCTGACTAAATGGCCAAATCATTTCAGTCTTTGTTTTTTCAAGAAATTTAGTTTTTTTCCCCTAATTACAGTGTTGTTCCCAACAGTTTAATGTTATCTTCCTTTATTTTATGGTCTCTTCTTGTTATATTGACCGATTTTCTCAAGCATTTAATTTCACACACTGTTAGTCTGTGGTTTTACTCATTGATAATGACTGAACAAAACGTGCTGTTGTATTTGTGCTTGTCTTTTCCTTCCATGCCATTGCTTGTTAAGCTGCACACTACTGCAAGCTTAAAAATCGAAACCACAGGTAGTCACCCTCTGTCAATTATCTATCTGGGATAGTGGGCAGGAGGCTCAGAACCCTGATCATTACTGAGGAGAGGAGAGTACACAGATGCCCTCCTTTTTTGATTGTTTTTATTGTACTTCTGCTACAGCTCTGGGCCCCTGACTTAAATACCGCTCCACCCAGATGAGAAGATTAACACAAGAGTGATTAGTGACGTGCAGCATGTTCTCATGTATTACGGTCAAAGCCAAATGCTTTTGATGAGATCTTGAGATTTTCCTAGAATTATTGTAGACATACTGCAATAAAGTAATCTATTCATGCCATCGGGAGTCGCCGTAGCAGAGCGGCTAGACGCTTGCCGCGGATCGGAAGGTCGTGGGTTCACTCCCTGACGGAGCTGGACTTTTTTCAAAAATGACCTTGGCTCCCAGGTCAACCCAGCCTTGAGTGGGTACCGGGTGCAGTCTCGGGAAGTAAAGGCGGCCGGTGTGTATAAAATACAGGTCTAGCCCTATATGCCCTATACGCCTGAAGGTGTGAACAGTTGTCCTTTACTTTTCTTTTTACTTATTCATGCCATCTAAAAACAACTGGTCGACGCACAATGCCTTTAACTGGATACAAGTTGTGTTTTTGTGTGTGTGTTTTGGGGGGGGGGGGGGGGCGGTAATTTTTATGCTGCTGATTCTTAAAACAAAATCATTGTTTTTTCTCCCTCTGTCAGCTCTAGTTTTTCATAGAAATGAAAATGACTATTTTAATAGGGAATTGTTATGTACAAGCCAAGAGTCAGGTGCCATCAGTGGCATTTTGACTTTAATTGTGTGTAATTATTGTACATTTATTACCTTCAAAAAAAGAACACCCCCAAAATATATAAACTGAAACTGTATCACTAGTACTACGTCCTTCTTACGTTATTTTTGTTTATTGAAATGGTCAAGGCACATCATTATGGCCAAAAAGCGGTTTCTTTTTTTATCCTCAATGGTGGCACTTCCTTGTGATGTCCTGGTGGGGTGCCAATCCAATCCAACGTACTTGTTTATTAATGGTCAACACACAAAAAAGCTTCTTTTTTTAAAGGACTTCCTATGTATATTGACCATCAATAGTAATCTGCATCATCACAAAGTTCTTGCTACCTCTGTTCTACTGTTTGCATTTCTAAACACCCCCCCCCCCCCCCCCCCCCCCCCCCCCCCCCCCCTCCAAGAATTGTGTTTTTTGAACATACTCCTCCTTCGTTGTAGTAGAGAGAGAGCAATTGATATATAGCTACATTTGTTACCACTGTACAAGAGAACCCCCTTTAAACTTTTTTTAAAATAGCTGTCAATGAATCGTCGCCTCTCATCTGGTGTAAAGCTTACATCTATTTCTTTTACAAGACCTGTGACATTAGCACTAAATACAAAGCTGTATTTTTTTTTTTCGAACAAATGTAAGAAAACATTGCTCTCTGCTGTGATCAAATGTAGCATTTGCTTCAGCACCCAGTAAATTTTTTTTTTCTTTCAATCTTGAAGCCAGCAGCTCTAAAGTTTCATTGGGGGAGAAGTAGATCTCGGATTTAGATCGTTCGGCTCGAACTTATTGAAGCGTTACGTAGCTGAATAACCACTCTCGAAATTTTTGTTAATGTCACGTGTCGTTCCACATGTCAGTGCTGTCTAGTCTTCTAAAAGGGAATCCGAAACTGACTGAAAGTTGGAAACAGATCTTCCTGACGAATCTAAATTTGGATATTTCTATTTGCCTATGTGTGGTTTTGTATATTAGGAATGAAAACACAGAAATAAGAGTCGTCATAGTGGTTCTCGGGCTCTCTCCAGCCCAGTGTAATTCCACATTTTCTTGTCCCACAAGTCCACATGTGTTCAACAGCAATAGATTTTTTTTGTAACCTGATGCAGAAAATACTGTGATGAAGTTGCTACAGACAAATAAATAGGACTTTTAGATTTAGCATACCTAATTTATACGTAATCATGCGTAAAATGCTTGCTACTTTAAAAATAAATTTATAGAGCTGACAAATATATAGTTTCTGAACTTACAATATCTTGAAGCACTTTTCTGATTTCTCTTCTTACAGTTTTCTTAAAAATATTCAAGAGAGATGCTGCTAATCCTCCATGGAATTGAAGGCCGATATCTGGAATGCTACAGCTGCACGATTTTGCAAACACAGACGGATGATGATTGTTTTCTCCTGATCAAATATAGAACGATTACATACTTATTATTCTGTGTATATTTGAGTTTGTATTATCATCCTTATCACCATCAACATCATCTTTGCCATCACCACCACCACCATCATCATCATCATCATCATCACCATCACCATCACCATCATCATCTTCATCTCATCATCTATCTACTGGTCGGCTGGTTAGGACGACATGCTTCTCCGCAAAATGCAATCTGCCACAGCATATATGGGTTTGTGTGCTGACAGCCGTTCAAGCCACAACAAAAGTGTTATGCAAAATTTTCTCCCCCGTCTTTTTCTTGATTTCTATCAACAAATGATGCTGCTAAATCATATATTTCGTTACAACATGTCCTGGCTTCTTTCTTATTATTATTTGGTCAAAATATTTGGCTCCCATTCTGTTTTTTGTAGTAAGCGTTTCTTAGCCTCTTTCAAAACATTTACATCACTCATTGTACAGACAGATGTAGAGACGTAGAAAAGAACTGAGTTAAAAAAAAAAATTTATTTAAAAAAAACTGGCAGTTAAGTTAAAGTGTTGAAGAAGAAAGGAGAGGGACGGGAAAGGTGGTGGAGGATGAGAAGAAACACAACATCGTCAACAAACATAACAACTAAAAAAAAAAAATAACAATAACTTGAAATAATAGCATCAAGTAAGAAAGACAAAGGAAAAGACCCTGATGCAAAGTTATAAAGGTTATAAAGTTTTTAAAAAAACCTTTCAACGCTTTCAGTCAAATTAGGCATATAATGCTAGACCTATCTTTTATAGACCAATCGGCACTGGCATCAACATCAAACCGGTCGATTTTACTTCCAAGGACTTTACCTGGTACTTAGCTTAGACTGCGTCGACCTGAAAGCCAAAGGTTTTTTGAAAAATTTTTTTAGTTCACTGCAGATTTCAAACTACAAACTTTTGGCTGAAGCAACATTCAAGACGCTAGAGTACGGCCACTCCCAGCGCCCGGCTGGGAAGATTGTTTTTACTTTACACGTGCTTTATGTTTTCTATGTTCCCAATACTTTAAGCCCTTAAGTATCTTTCCTTCTGTAACATTATTCCGTATACCCTCTTTCCCCCAGATGAGACTGGTCATCCATCTAACCAGGTGTACTTACCCAGTCCAGTTAACCAGGTGTACTTACCCAGTCCAGTTAACCAGATGTACTTACCCAGTCAAGTTAACCATTTATATTTACCCAGTCCAGTTAACCAGGTGTACTTACTCAGTCCAGGTAACCATGTGTACTTACCCAGTCCAGTTAACCAGGTGTACTTACCCAGTCCAGTTAACCAGGTGTACTTACCCAGTCCAGCAACTAGGGTCACAGACGCTCCAGATGCGCTCAGATCGACGCTTCCACTGGCAGAGATTCTGAATCTGTGTGAAATTACAATGTTAATTTCAAGAATACTACTGTGATCATTATCATTATCATTAGGATTGTCATTATTATCACGTAGCAGGTTCATTGCAAAACGTCGCTCTTATCGTGGCACACCGAAAAATCACTCAATCTCCTGCGAGCGTTCCAGCATTATGAACTGATACTGTTTATGAGCATAAATATATTAGGCAACCAACAGTCCTTGGGGACCATGGAGTTGTGTCGCTGGTTCTAGGAACAGCGTCTGGCAATGATTGTAAAGTCTAGTGCGGGAGTGAATTAATCAAGTAACAGAAAGTGTATTGATCGGCACTCATAGAAAGAAGTAGAAAGATAGAAGAACACACTAGACAACATAAAAATCGAAAAATATAGTTACCGTGCCGGGAATGAAACCTGTCACCTCCAGACGGCGTGTGCGCCTCGCCATGAATACAAGTGCACTAAGAACATGGTCAACTAGGCACCCCCCCCACCCCAAAAAAAAAAGGTGTCTTCTTGGCCATGTCTATCGTACAGCTTGAAATCCTCAACTATGGAATACGGACAGAATTCATTGCAAACCATTGAAATGGCACCATAGGTTACAGAATGTATATTATCGAAGCATATGTCGAATAACTATCACAGCAACAATTTACGAACACAGTATACCTTAATGCTTTATCTAAAATACACAAACATTACAAAAAGGTATTTGATTTGTGGTTCGGGTGTGTATACGTCATTCCTATAAATAAACAGAGTGCGGGAGTGGCAATCTCTGCCATATAGTCAACATAAAAACGTTTATACTCTGTTAGTAAGAGACTGATTTTTTTCTCTCCCAGACGTCTCCTCTCTATAGCTTGTTGTGTTTGGCATATCTCAGCCTGTAACTGTCCGTCTTCCACTGTCTATTTCCAAATGAGACGGTCTGCATCTGATCTCTCCCAAGCGTCTGTGCCCATATTAATATGGTCGCGTTTGCATACGTCCTTATAGCGTAGCCTCTACCTTTCGACGGGTTCTATCCCTGTTACCAGTTCATTATACAGAAGAACGGTTGGAATGTGACTATCCTCCTGCTTCCTAATGTATAATTAAAGTCAAACCATTATTTTAGAACACGTACAGAAGTTGTATACTAATTATAATAACAGGAGTGGAATTATATTTCTTTTTAAAAACAATTCGACAATTATTGACATCTAAAGACAAAAACAACACATTAGAAATGAGAAGTATTATTTATATTCAGCCATTCTGTATGAAGCAGAATCCTGGCTAATGGAAAAGGTAAACTGAGTTGAATAAGAAACCGTCATGGCAGCACTCGGGATCTCCCCATAAGGGCTCCTTCTCCATCTTCAGCAGCAAGCGAAGAGTTCTAAATTTTGCCCGGGCAGCACAGTTAGGCTACTCTTTTCGATTTCCAACTGTCAAGGGATTTTTTACTTGCGCAGCAATGCACACAGGCGCCCGATCTCACTACCCAGAGACCAGGGGAAATCACTAGAAGTCCTAGTCCACGTGAAAAAATCCCAGCTCTTACCGGAAATTGAAACAAGAACCTCTAGAACTCGAGGTGGACACCATGACTCGAGACCACGCAGCCCCCTTCTATCACAACCGCTATGATCTCATCGCGCATGTCCAGAGCCTTAACCACATCTAGCTTGTCTTCCGGTTTCCTGGCAAGTTCGGACATGTTTTCACAGTGCTCTCAAATATATACATTGTAAACCTCGTTTTATATAACGAAACCAAGAAGTCCTGAAATGATTGTGTTACTAATTCGCTTGGACTTACCCTGACTGTATATACAGTTAAATTTATTATATAGCTGTGTGTTTATTGTGCACTTATTCTTGAAATAAGAAGGTAATGGTATGGTTTTTTTGTGGTCACCAATCTTCGATAGACATTATTTATCCAGCCATGTGGTAGTGATTTTAACAAAGAATCAGTGGAGCAAACAGATTGTACTGCTCAAAAGCAATGGCTGCTAATTTACGTGAAACTACAATGGCCAAGCGAGGCCTTAAAGTAAACACAGACAAGACGACACCCAGAACATCAGACACGCCGCCTAAACAACGGAAAAGTTGCCCGAGCCCCGCTCCCACGACGCCATCTTGCACCGTCATGTTGCCTAAAATGCCACACACTGTTATCACAAGTGAATTTTTAACAGGTAGTTTCTCACCATCACAGAAAATGAGTCCATGTGAACATTTGCCTTCTTTGTCTGGCAACCGAGCACATAACATCGCTTGCAGTGAACTAATCCAGTCATTGGAGAACAGGTTGAGGCTTTGTATTTCCGAAAGTTCCCTCAACATTATGTCATCATTTAAAAAAGAAAATGAACTTCTTAGGGAAGAAATTAATCAATTAAAAGATGAGAATGCCTCATTAAAATCAACTATTTGTGCTTTAAAAACTGTCTCCGTTGACAGTCCTACTCAAACAGACATTATCAATGAAATTACCACTATTAACGAAACTGCTTTTGTGTCTGTGAACGAAGAAGATGCAAATGTAAAATCTGTACCTGTTGAGAGAACACCGTCCATCTATCCCATTGGAGTGCAGATAACCAACAGGTTTCAGATACTAAGTGAAAGCACTGACACAATGCATGAGCAAGTTGAACCTTCACCGTCTAGCGTGCCCCAGCAACAGCCTCTTACGGCACACAAGAATCAAGACCAAGATGACAGTCTCAAGTGGCAACAACAGAGCCCCAAACGTGAGCGCGGCCAGTATAGCATAAACGTTGACCCTAGTGCAACACATTTGATTATAGGTGACTCGTTGCTAAAGGGCATTTACAGTGACCGTATGTCACCATCGGAAAATGAGACCGTCTCAGTTCATCCCCTGCCAGGTGCAGGAGTTGATAGATTAACTGCTACACTGCATAGGTTCAGCACCAACTCTAGAATTCAAAGAACCACCGTGCACATAGGTATCAATGACATCATGAACGACAAGATCATTAGTACGTCACAATTATCTGCATTATTGGTCATGCTGCGAAACAAATTCCCAGAATCGAAATTTTTTGTGTCTTCTATTATTGTACCATGCTATGGGTTCCAGCGCCGTATGGCAGACGCTGCAAATTTAACATTGCATAAATTCTGTGTGGAACATGATGTCTACTTCATAAACCACACACCATACTTTACCTCATCGTCTGGTGCTCCCAAGAAAAGACTGTACCGGGACCAAATCCACAGCTCTAGGTTAGGAAGCAGTATTTTTGCGAAGAATTTAAAATATCCTCAGCGCACACAGTACCCAGTTACTGGAGCAAACAGAACACCACCCATGCCTGTTGCAATAGCTGCTCATAATCTACAAGATAGTCTCTCCGCTCCAGCGACAAACCTGCCTTTACCCAAAATGCACACTCCGGTGCATCACCACACAAGTGCCATTTCTAATGGTGAATTGTACGATTCTTCATTTCCTCCATTGACATATAAGCAGCCTCCCTCTGCCAAACCCAAGGAAGTATCATCGAACAAGCCTGTTGTGTCCCAGATGCCTGCTGCCAAAGAAAGACTTACGAGAGATGATCATGTTAGTAGACCGTCACCGTATAGTCATGCACAGCCTGTCTATCCCTGGAACCCTGAACTTCAGTACCTCACCCAGTTCAATCCAGCAGCTCTTCATCAAGCATTTATGATGTCGCTCCAACGGAGACACTATCCTGTCCCACCAAGGAGCAGTATTTATTAACTACTTTTTGAAATTGTTTCATATAACTGTATAAATGATGTCTTCACAAAATGTAATGTTCAATAATCAAAGTCAGTGGCTTAGCAAGGATGGCCTGCGAATAGGGCATCTTAATATTTACCATTTACTCGGCAAACTGCCTGAGCGGTTGACTTAACAATCAGTTTCATATCTTTGGAGTCACTGAAAGTCGTCTAAACAACAAAATTAATGATAAAGAAACCACTATCAGGGGATTTAATTAATTCGCAAAAGATGCAGTAAGAAAATTAGAGACAGGCATAGCAGTGTATCATTTTGTAGATGTGATGAATCTATAGCTGTAGAGTGTGTCTGGTTAGAACTCAAATCAGCAGTCTATGATGGACTTGTATCGAAATCCTTGTTTATTGATTGGTTGACGACTTCACTTTCTATGATGGATGTAAGTTTAGGAAAAGAAATTATACTGCTAGGAGACTTTAACATTGATAGCAATAAACCTAACCAAGCGTGGGGGGATATAATTATATCGTATAACCTTAAACAGCTAATTAACTTCCCCACGAGAGTTACAAAAACATCTTCAACCACCATTGATCATATTTATGTCTCCTGTCCGGGAAATATTATTGAATGCACAGTTCCTGTTTTAGCTGTCAGCGACCATTATCCGGTGTGCTGTACATGGTCAAAATTTGGCTTTAGGTCTCCTAAAGATAAGCACCTCACAATTAAATTTAGAAATTTTAAAACCTTTAATTCACAAATTCTTTAAACGATTTGCGAAACGCACAGCTGGAGCATGTTTATCAGCTTTCTGAACCGGACGATGCTATAGCATATTGGATAAAAACAGTCTACAATGTGTTTGATAAACATGTGCCGGTTAAAGAGGTTAGGGTTAAAAGTCAAATTAAGTCTCCATGGATCACTAGGGAAGTTCTGGAAGTTATGAAAGATCGGGACATGGCACATAAAAATAAAAATGTTTTAGAGTATCGTAGGCTAAGAAATAAAGTGCAATACATGATCCGTAGGATCAAGAAAGAACATTTTAGCAAGTTGATTATAGACAAATCAAACAGTACAGACATATGGAAGGCGATTAACATGCTGACCAACAAGAAACATCATTCAGATCCTGTAAAACCAGATTCTCTTACATGTAATGATTTCAGTAACTTTTTAAAATCGGAAATAGAAAATTTAAAATCCGCTATACCAGATGCACAGAGTGACTTAAGCCTGTTGGCATCATTTAGTGATGACAAATGCA